TGACTCGTTATTTCTTTTTCCTATTTTGTCCTTAGCATATTTTGAAATTATTATTTTACCTTTTAGTTGGTTGGTGAAACAATTTGAGTGGTAGCATTTTGCAAATTATGTACGACATTTTGGAGAAATTCTATTTCCACACATTATTTCCTCTATTTCCATACATTACTTCCTCTCTTTCCATTAAATAATTTAAACTATCAACTTTCACTCAATACACATCCTACCATACCAAAAATACCCTTATCATCTTCATCATCCAAACTCCAACCCTAACAAGCCACCACCACTGTTGTCGCCACCGGCAGCACCTCTTCCCCTCCCTTTACATCCAGTCACCCCACCCCTCCCTCCACCTATCAGCGCCACTTCCACGACCTCCATCGCCGAACTCAATCTCTGATTTCCTCTCTCTCTCTTAGTCGCGAAATAGGGCTATTACCGACGCCACCATCGCAACCTCAACCCTCTCCCTTTGAGATCGATCTCTCTCTCTCTCTCTCTCTCTCTCTCTCTCTCTCTCTCTCTCTCTCTGTATCTCACAGTCACGAAAGGGACAGAAAGTCTAGGCAACGGCAATTTGTTTGGTGGTTGGGAGAGACGAAGGCAAAGGAAGAGCGCAGTAGTAAGCAATGAAGGCGGAGGACGATCACAGTGGTGGCCAATCTTTTTCTCAAGCAAAGGGGGGTGGCAATGGTAGGGAAGAGGCGACGAGAAGAGTGGAGGAAGAAAAAGGCGGCGGCCATGGATAGTGATGGTAGAAATTTATGGTTTGAGAAAGTTAGAGTTTGGATTTTGGGAAAGAGATATTTTTGTAATTTAATTTTAGGGCAAAAATGTAATAAAAAAAAATCATTAAGTGTGTGGAAAGAGAGGAAGTAGTGTGTAGAAATAGAATTTCTCAACATTTTGGTTGGTTTGGTTGGAGTGTCTCTATTTACACACCATTTTTCATCTCAAGACACACCATTACTTAAGGCACACCTCTAATAACACTACAAGAAAAAACACTATTGGCGACTAAAAAATCACATTTCGTCGCTGAAAGTATAGCATTTGGCGACTAAAAATGCATTAGTAGCCAAAAGTATAGGTTTTGGCAACTAAAAATCTGTTTGGTCGCCGATATATGGCTTTTAGCGACTAAAAAAATTTTAGTAGCCAAAAGTAAGGCCTTTTGGCGACTAAAAAAATTTAGTAGCCAAAACTGAGGCATTCGGCGACTAAAAATCTGTTTGGTCGCCAAAAGCGAGGCTTTTACTAACTAAAAAAATTTTAGTAGACAAAAGTAAAGCCCTTTGGCGACTAAAAAAAAAATTAGTAGCCAAAAATGAAGCATTCGACGACTAAAAACATGTTTAGTAGCCGAAAGTGAGGCTTTTTGGCGACTAAAAAGAAGTTTAGTTGCCAAAAGTGGTAATTTTAGCGCGGAAATTTTTTTTTTAACGACTAAAAAATAATAAGTAGCCAAAAGTATAGAATTGACGACTAAAATTATGTTTAGCCGTCAAAAGTGGTCTCCTTTTTTTTTTACATAAATTATGTTCAATAAAAAAATAATTATATTTATATATATACTTTTATATTAATATGGGTCTAAGTACTATATAAATAATATATATTGCATATATAATCATATGATGTAATGGAGGCGTAGTGGAAGGAGTGTGTTGTATAAGATTTATGGTGTGGGAGGTTGATGGTTTGAATCTCCACAAGAGTAAGGTGTAATTTTTTTTTTTTTTTCGGAATGAGCTTTTGGCGACTAAATCTGTTTGGTCGCCGATTCCTTGAGTATTGGCAACTAAAACATTAGTCGGTAAATGTATAATTTAAAAAAATATAATTGACTATTGGCAACCAAGGTTTTAGTCGCTAAAGACTTGCTTTTTGGCGACTAAAAGTTTTTTAGTCGCCAATACCTTTCCCGACCATTTAGCAGCAACCAAACCGGCGATTAAAAAATTTAGTCGGAAAAACTTAAAAATCGACTTTTGGCGACTAAAAATTTAGTCGCCAAATGTGTTTTTTCTTGTAGTGTAAACTGATAAATAAATAATTTGCTCAATACATACCACAACTTTTCATCTTTACCCTTACTCACATATACCATCCACAATCTTTCATCTTTACCCTCACTCACTCACTCACAGACCCCATCCCCATCCACGATCCATCTCCGCCTCCATTCAAAGCCAATGGTGAACAAAACCATTGGTAAAGACTCCTTAAGACATCCGTGGTGCTCGTTGTCGTCACGATTGAAAACAACTCCACATTGTAGATATAGTAGGTGAGAATTCTCATTTGGCTTGGATTTTAGGGTTTTATAAGTGTTCGGCAGTACAGAGTCAAACTAAGTAGAATTATTCGACTGTTTCTAACCGAACAATTGGTGTTCGGTACTTACAAACTGAATAATTGAAGTATGTTCGACTCTATGAAACCAAACATATACAATTTGTTCGGTTGTAGATAGTCAAACATTGATATATTATTCGACTCTGGATAACCGAAGTAATACGAACGGTTTACCACTCAGTAGGTACATGAAAACGAAAAAAAAAATTAAAAAAAATAACATTTTCCTTCCTCCATTGTTCCGAACCAGTATTACTAGATGCATCCATCATTGAATCTAATCAAAATCTTCAATAATGTGTATATTTTTGGTTATTTTTTAAGGGTTTTTGGTTTTTGTTTTAGAATTTTTTAATTTTTGAGAGACAAGATACGTAAATAACGTTTGAGATTTTTGATGTGTATTATATTCATTATTGTCCTTTTATGGTAATTATACAAATAATATGTATCATAGCCCATTGTCCTTTGTGGTCATTTTAGCTAAGGTTAAAATTGTAATAAAAAATAAACTAATTAATGGTGTGCCTTGAGATGAAAAGTAGTGTGTAAATAGAGACACCCCTTTGGTTGAGAAGGTTTGTTTTGGGTTGCCTATTTTGCCCTCAGCTTTTTGGGGAATTTCCTATTTTGCCATTTTATTTTGTATAATTTACTAATAGTATAACAATTTGAATGAAGGTTTTCTCATAAATATGCAAACATTTTGGTCAATTGTAAAACATAAATTTTTTATTTTTTAACAAATTACAAATACACCCATAATGTTTGTTTAAAATATGAATTAGTCCTATAATAATACAAATTACAACTATCATTTGTTATAAATTTTAATTTAACCCAATAATCAAAAGAAAAAATAAATAAATAACTACTCTCTTGCGCAATAATAAATTATCAAAATTGTTCATTGAAAAATATTTCTCATATTATTAAAAAGTGTTAATTGACTTAATACTTTATTTATTAACAAAATGGTTAACTGAAAAATATTTTTCATATCATTAAAAAAATTTAATTGACTTAAAGATTTATTTATTAATAAAATTGATTATTTGTTATGAGAGTATGATTTATTTATTAATAAAATTAGTCATTTGTATATATGTGTATTCTCTTCTACTTCTTTATTAGTTCAATTTTTTTTTTTTTAGATGGGGAATTATCTTATCTCTTTTATACTAAAATGTATACTTTATTTTGTTTATCTTTATGTCTTCACATTTAGTCTTACTGGAAAAAAAAAAAGAATATAATTATGTTAAAACGATAAGAGTTATTATATTGTTTCTAATTGTTATTATTTATAATACAATTTATATAATTCTATCATATATCTAATAATTTATTCTATTTAATTTCATAAAATAAAATAATATTCTTATTTTTAAAAATTATTAAAATACAAAACTTAAATATACTGTAATAGTAACTCGTGCCTTGCGCAGGCCTTGTATCTAGTATATATATAAGAACCGCTTAGCTGCTTGAGGTTCGTCTTTCTTTCTTTTTTCTTCTGATTTTGCCCTTTCATATTGAATAATTTATTAATGTTGGTCTATATGTTGAGTGAAGGCTTTTTCATAATTACACAAACATTATTGGTTAATTATGTAACAAATTTTTTCGTAATTACACAAGCATTCGTAGTCAATTATGTAATAGTTTTTTTTTTTCATAATTATGCAAACATTCTTGGTCAATTATGAAACAAATTTTTCCGTAATTACACAAACATTTTTGGTCAATTGTGAAACATAAATCTTTCATTTTTTAACAATTACAAATACACCCATAAAATTTGTTTAAAATATGAATCGGTTCTATAATATTAGAAATTACAACTATCATTTGTTATAAATTTTAATTTAACATAATACTTAGGGGGAAAAAAAATTATTCTCCTATGCAATAATAAATTATCAAAATTGTTTATTGAAAAATATTGCTCATATCATTAAAAAATGTTAATTCACTTAATGATTTATTTATTAACAAAAATGGTTAACTGAAAAATATTTTTCATATCATTAAAAATCATTAATTTACTTAATAATAAAATTGGTCATTTGTTATGTGAGTGTGATTTATGTATTAATAAAATTAGTCATTTGTATATATATATATTTTCTTCTGCTTCTTTATTAGTTCAGTAAATTATCTTAGTAATTTTTTTTTAGATAAAAAAATTATCTTAGTATTTGTTTTATATTTATTTGTTAAGAAAAGTTACCCATCATATTTTTTTTATATAAATTCGGAAGAAATATTAAAAATCCATAAATTCACCTAAAATAATATGATAATAGAATTAGAGTCTACATCATTGGGTATATAACAAATCAAAAAATAATACATGTCATACCACATAATTCTATTGTATATCTAATAATTTATTATATTTAATTTCATAGAATAATATTCTAATTTTTAAAAAATTATCAAAATACAAAACTGACCGTCTTAGAGCAAATGCGTTGGACTGACCGTCTTAAACTATTGGTCTAAACACGAGCAGACTGAGACAATCAAAAAGCACCAAAGTCTTTGCACAAGTCTAAGTCGTCTTTGCATATGCCCCACTCTCTTGTCTTTCTGGCTTTTCTTTCCCAGCATGATCAAGATCAACAACTCTTCTCATTTGGGACATCAGTTTTTATTGGGGTCCCAAACCCGAACAGTACGTAGCATAATCAATTCCTTAATTTTAAGCTAATTGGCATATGAAGCTTCTCACCATGTCCTAGGAAGCTGGCTACGAAACAACCCCATCAACCATCCCAAGTGAAGTTTGAGCTATATGGAGATAATGATGCTATCTATATCTACACCATACACATTGTGCTTATCTCTCCACAAGAAGAAAAATACAAGAGATCAATGGATTCTCCGGAATCGGATAGTGACTATGCTGCGACAGCAGCAGCAGCCAACCAGTCGAATTTCGAGCTTTCTGATTTCTTCGAGTTTGATGAGGAGTGGGCTGAGGGAGATCATCCACCACCACCAACACCGATGGTGGTTTCCGGGTATCCCCAAATGAATCCAGTTTATGCTGCAGGATCAGCAGCAAGTCACGGAATCAATGATGCAGCCAGGGGAAGCAGTAGCCACCTCAGTATCTATGAAGGAACTAGTATCAGTAAGAAACTTCTTCTATGTGCATAGTATTCAATCACAGTCCACTTCTGTGATCGGAATTCTATGCACTATCAGTTTTTCTAATTAATTACCAACTAATATATGAACCTTACTTTTACGACAAATTAACATGAATCTATGTGCCTGTTTGGCAGAAATTATTTACAACTTATTTCAGCTTTCAGTTTAATTTAATCTATTTTGATGCGTTTGGTTTAGCTTATAGCTTATAGTTTATAGCTTTGTGGAAGTCAAAAATCAGCTTATTCTTTGAGTGGGACAGGAGATGCTTTAAGAATAAGCTGGAAATCAGTTTAAGCTGAAAATTATAAGCTATAAGCTGTTTAGGCATAAGGTATAAGTACTTTCCCACAGTTCTACCAAACAGGACTTATGTACTCTTGGTTGCAACATGCACACACATACATTTTGTTGGTAAAGCCTGCTAAAGGGTGTTTGGTTTTGTGTGACTGACTAGTAGGGGACAGTGGTAGGAGTTGTGGGAGGGAGAAGAAGGAAGTGAAAGAGAAAGTTGCTTTTAAAACACAATCAGAGATTGAAATACTTGATGACGGCTTCAAGTGGAGGAAGTACGGCAAGAAGATGGTCAAAAACAGCCCAAATCCAAGGTATATATATATATATATATATCTATATCTATATTTAGTAATATTACAACCTAGTAAAAAAAAATTAAATTAATTGTCATTGATAAATTATTGAAGATTAATATTGACAAGAGTGAATTATTTGGGGAGAATTGTAAATAAGTGGAAAGAAATCAAAATAATTGTAAAATCACATAGTTGTAAGTGGAATCTGTCTCTGATGGTCACAAATTTCACTCGCATCAAAACGCAAATCTTTGCATCTCTATGATTTTACAATTATTTTTACTTCTTTCAATTGATTTACAATTCTTTTCAAATATATATATATATATATATTTACAAAATTTGTGTAAGTTTTTATTTACCATTTGGGGAAATATATGCCTTGGGCTTCATATAAATTCAAAGTCTTGACGCAATAAAGAAAAGGGAAAAAAGAACTCCTTTTAACGTCTCTATGTAATTGAAAAGCAACAATTAAAACTGAAGTCATCATAATTTTAGTAAAGAGAGCATGAAATGAAATGGAACAAAAAATGAAACTAATGGATGCATTGGGGATGGGGGGAACAGGAACTATTATAGGTGTTCAGCAGAAGGATGCCCAGTGAAGAAGAGAGTTGAAAGAGACAGAGATGATCCGAGGTACGTCATAACTACTTACGAGGGTGTCCATAACCACCAAGGTCCTTCTTCTACTACTATTACTACCAAGTTCTGAATTTTCCTCTGCTCTCTTCTCTGTGGAATTTGGAGTAACTTACACAACAACAACTACAACTACCTACAGTCTAAACTACCTACTTAGCATAGCTTAGAGTTCTTCAGACTAAGAGTTTGCTTTTGTTGTATTTTATGTATACAAGTAGTAAGTAACTACATACTCTTTGTCAGTAAGTAGTACCACCAATTAGATGTAAGCTATCTTTGATGAGATGAGTTCCATCATTATTCTCCTCTGTAAAGGGTGTCCGATGATGATAATAACAGGATATGCTCATGTCATCTAGAGAACCTTGCAAACATAGCATACATTCATACATATATACAAGTAGTTTTGCACCAGCACCACTCTACTCTACTGTACTTGGACCTCTATTGCAGCTCCAACTCTTTTTCCTTTCTTTTTTTTTTTTTTAAACAAATTTTAGTGAAAATACAAAAAGTCTCTCTTTTTGTAAGATTAAAATGACTACAATTAATGCACATTATGAATAGATGAGAAAAAACTAAACATTTTTTTTTTTTTGGGTATAAAAGAGATAACAAAATTATTTTTTCTTCTATGTAATTAGCAAATTATTAATAAAAATGAGTTGCGTGTCATGTTAAATCTTAAAGAAATTCTATTGTAATTATGTTAAATTTATAGAACTCATAATTCACCATTGCATACATGCAAATCCAAAATTGCCAACGCTCTTTCCATTTAGCTCTCTTGAACCGTAAAAAGGAAAGACTCTAAATTACAGTTAATTTTCACAATTATGAAGCACTAGAAATTTCAATTTTAATGAAGGAAATCTCCTCCTCGGTAAATAACTAAAATTTTCAAAAATAAAATATGTTTTCAATTGTTACTAAACCCCAAAATTCTACTTAGGCGTGACTTTTGAGCATAAAATTTTCAAAAATAAAATATGTTTTCAATTGTTACTAAACCCCAAAATTCAACTTAGGTGTAACTTTTGAGCATGAAACAAACGTTTTCTCAACACTAGCACACCCAAATTGCCCTACGGTTTATTACAACATCTAGATTTAGAAAAAAAAAATTCATGAAATCAAAAATTGTATTATGCATTTTTTTTTTTAATTATCAAGTTGCAATTGCATTTTTTTTCCACTAAAATGTCGAGAGGAAATTCAAAAAAGGAACTAAGATAAATAGTAATGTGTTGACAATATTGTATGATAAAATTTGAGTTTTGAATTGTATTCGATATTGATGGACTAAATAAAATATTGAATGATGCCAAGGTAGCAAAAATGAGAATAAGAAAATACTGCTTTTTTTTTAGGTACATCGGAAAAATAAGAAAATACTGCTGTAATTGTATTTTAAGCCAGAGTAATTTCAAAACTCAGCCACCACAACAAACATCCCAAGAATGTAAAATTCAGAATTGTTTTCCAACATTAGTAGTGAATTATTTCTCAAGTTTTTCTCTTCAGAAGATCACAAAACAGAAGCAGTTTCCCATTAAAGAAAATTAAAAATTAAAATAAAAAAAATGGCGCATCACATATCTCGGCAGCTTGCCATCCAAATAAATAAAAAAAATCCGAGCAGAAACTGCCACAAGAGAAGGCAAGTTCTCCACTGCCAACCTGGGCAGGCCAGGACACAACAGTTCCCTACTCTAAATTCTATTACACTAAAAAGACCTTTGTCTACTAAAAGTACATCACTTAAGCCTACAAATAACCCCCATAATTGGGCTCTTATGAAGCTTCTCAAAACTACTGTACACTTAAATTAGGGTTCTGAAAAATGTATACCAGGCACCTTGGGGGCAGTACAACAACCTGGTCAAAACAAAACAGGCTTATACTGTCATCCGGATGCGAGGTTTGCACATTTACTACAACTTGATGCTTTCATATCATGGTGACATTGCATCTTCTGTTGATGTGTACATGTGTACATCTGTTTCCTCGGCTCTTTCTTTTGCACTATAATCCACCATGGGATCACCTGCAGATATATATAAAATATAAGACAACAATCTGTATATATGTGTGTTTGTGTGTATGTGTGTGTGCAAGAAAGTTGGTAATAATGGAAGAGCTTCTATTACTAAATATGGAATCAATTGAGGGCCGTTTTGGTGATGTGCTCCTCACAACGTCTGCAAAAATTACAAGGATAAAAATATGTGGTCAGATCAATTGAAGATAGAATCGATTAAAATTTCCAAACCAAGCATGGAAATGAACAAGAAAATATGATATAATGCCCCCATTTTGTTGGACCAGAAACCAATTTTCTCACACCAACATGCAGTCTTGCATTATTTTCTGGACTGGACAACTCAGTTTAGCAATAAAGCATAAACGCTATGAAGGTACATAATATATATGCATGAGTTTATGTAAGAGAAACATTTCAAGTACTCAGACAGAAGAATATAATTTACATACCAGATGAATTACGTAGTGCCTTCACAGCATCAAAGTTCTTATATGTATAGCCAACAAAATTCAAATCTTTGGGAGTTAATAGCATCTGCAAAAGTTATACCAGTGGGACGCAAAAGTTACACCAGCTGGAAAAATTAGATGCCTTAACAAATCTAAGAATCATACATCGTGTACAAAATTTAAACTTGCGGGAATTATGCATCTGTCATTAAGTTCTATTGGAGGAAAATTAATTGGCTTACTAATTAAATAAAATTCAATAAAATGGCAGGATCAACATTAGGGGCATGCAAGTCAGACTGAAAATGATGTGGAAGATTAGGTATACACTTAACCTTTGGCATAGTGCATGTTGCCTGGAGACTTGAACCCATAACCTCAAGGTTATTAGGCTAAGGTTTAACCATTGAACCAATGGTCACCCCTATGATGTTTAATTCTCCATAAAAAAATACCCTTTGAAATGAAGAAGAAAATTGAAAACAAGCCCATAAAACGAGAGCTAATGATAATTGATGGATTATTCTTTGTTCCATTAGGGCACAGATATATAGATATGTTAGCAAGCCCAGTTACAAACCTTCCTTGAGGGTCCCGAGCCAGTCCGTGCTGGTGAAGATGATTCCAACTGATAACAAACCCATAGAATTAATTAAATGAATCATGCAACTAGAAAAGCATGTAAAAAAATGAAATAGAAAATGGAACATCAAACAAGATCAATGTCTATGGAACCCAATTGTAGGAGTATAATACATTTTCTGAGATATTTAATAAATGAGCATTCTATATAACTGCAAACTATAAGAATATCCTAAGCATGAGTATCTCCTCATGATTGATTGGCATTATTACATGCAAACTATAAACATGGAATTCCATCGAGGTTTACAGGATTAGCATATTACTAATACAAACAAATTGTATCTCCAAAGAGCTAGGCTTCCAGCAGATGCATACAATGAGGATAATGCAGGAGAGAACCTTCACCACTGAGAAAATAAGGCTGCCTTGCACGTAGATATGGTGGGCTAGGGCTTCGCTCAAGGGTTAGTGGTTCAAAAGTTGGCTTTAGGGTTTAATGATGGAATAGTGATCACAATGAATGAGATTTCAAACTGTACTGGGCTGCAGGGAAAATCTGAGTTTACTGAAGAGCGAGGAAATCTTAGTGCTAAATTATCAAGATTGAGTTTGGATCAAGGTCGGGTTTGGATCAAGGTCTTACAGTGTTTGGATGGGGTCATTTGGTCAGAAATGATAAGAAATGAAGAGAGGGAACTCTTTCTCAAGTTTGGTTTATAAATTAGGTGAGAAATATTGATCCAAAAAAAAAAAAAACAGGTGAGAAATAGTGAAGGGGAAAAAACTCTCTTATTTTGCCTATTTCATTTTTTACCAAGAGTGGTGAAATTTGGTAAAAAACAAACTGATTGTTATAAAATTTTCATAATACCGAGATTGCTCATTAAAATACAATATATATCAGTCATATCCCTCTCACATGCTTTGTTTTCTTACCCATCCAAATATGATAGTGAGAACACAATCATTTCTTTTCATTTCTCACCTCCTATTATACCAAACAGACTGTTAGGGTTTAAGGATTCAGTTAAGGTGACAAAAAATGAGGCTCTTATTTATGCAAAGGTTTGTCGTAGTTTAACAAATAAAATTAAGAGAAGAAGAAGAGTAAAGAGTTAGAACCTTAGTATCAAACTAAGGTTTTCAAAAAATCTCACCTAGAAAAGGCTAGAAGGATTTAACGGAGTGTCGCCACTAAAAAGCAAAACAAAATCTGCAGAAATTTCATTACTCAAAGCTTGTATAATAAGCAAAATCTTCAGAAATTTCATTACTTGAAATTTGCATGTCTCTACAAAGCTATCATATATAGGGCATACGACTCTCGCACAATTGTACTAGATTCATAACTTTCCAAATTAACAATGTATTCTAAATAAGAAAAGGACTTAATAGGACTTACAATCAAATATCTATCTAATTTAGACACTAAAAATAAAATTAGCAAACTATCCCCAATCTGGAAAATTACAAAAATACGCCTTTATTAAAGAAAATTTCCTTTCTTTCATATTCTAGCAATTACTTTTAGGGGTCAATCACCATCAAAGGATTGAATTTGCTAGGCTATATTGCATTACATGGATAATCAAAGACCACTACATGAAATTAATTCTACTACTGTGGAGCAGTGAGAAGATCATCGAGTGAGAATGAATCACCCACTGGTATGTCATACTATGAAAATATTCTTAAAGAGCCATATGTCATAAACAATAGTTAACTCTAAAGAATTTTCTTAAGCTAAATGAAAAATGAACGGCATAGTTTTTATCTTCATCATTATCGTTACTATTGCTATAACAACAGAAACACCATAAGGAATAAAGAGAGGGACGAGTTTGGTCATTACTTCATCAAACTTCATAAAGTTCTGAGTATCTAACTCCCCATTGACTTCTGGTTTAAATGCTGCTTCCATTTCATACAGTTTATCCCAAGCAATGTCCTTGAACCAAGGATGGGCCTGACTTATCAAAAATTAAAAATATATATATATAAATCTGAGGATGAGCCCACAAAAACACTTGTAATAACATAGATACAAATTTAAAAAGAAAAATAAATAAATAAATAAAACTGAGAGCAATGGCATATTATCGATCCCAAAGCATACCTTAATTTGGTTTGCTCCTGTAGTACCCAGTCTGTGTTCAACATCACATAGCAACCTATAGATTATATCCTTTGCCTCGGGTGTCAACTTTGCTTCTTCTGGAAATTTTAGGTGATTTTTCCAGTGAACAATCTGGCAGTTGTTCAGATACAAGGTGTCAGGGAATTTCACTTGTCTTCAGTGCAACTCACACTGACAATGCAAGTGTCAAGAATGCACTTAGCATAATAGGTTTAAAAACTGATAACTAGAACGAGACAACAATTTTCACAGTAAGCATTGCCATCGTATGCCCTAGAATAACCATTCCATTGAGAAAGGAACAGATTTCCCTTCAATCCATGGATATGAGCTTGGAGTGGATGTCACTAAAACAAAGAGTCAAGACTGGATTTGGACTGTGTTTTGATATTTCAGCTGCTTATTTTAGTAATATGCACATTTGAACCCATGGGAAGTGAAGCGCTGCGCTTGATGATCAAACATGTACCTCCCAACTATTAGGCTAAACACATCTTATTTTAGTAATTAACACTGCAGAATATTTACAAGTTCTTAAATGTAAAGAATTTTAGATGTGACAAGGGCAGATGGCAGATGCTCTCTAGACCTGATCAATTATTGATTACGCGAAATGGCCCCCCTTGCAATCTTGCTCCTCTCACTCTACACTTTAGTATTCTCTCATATGCCTATATATGAGCACCAACAGTGGCTTTCATCCCCATGGAGGTTAGCACTGTACATTTATGAGCATCGGCAGCAGCAAATGCATTGAATAGTAGAAGTGGAGGTTTCTGACTGGAGCAAAAAAGGAAGGTTTCAAATGGCACTCCTCATTCTTTGATACAATGTATATGGAAAGAAATGAATACCCACTCCTTCGAAGGAAGATAGGTTTCTTTGTTCTTATAAAGAGTTAATTTTTGAAATTTAGGTCTTCTTGGGCTAAGTCGAGGGCTGATTCCTCCCTTAGAAACCCTGCATCTATCTAGCAAATTTTTTACTAATCAATTAAAAAGGACTTCTGAATTTTTTATAGATGAAAATCCAACAATAATATCATAAGCACAACCAAATACACAAATCACTAAAAACAAGCACACATCTTAGTTGATAACCACAAAAGTAGTATGTAAAGAGCACAATCAATTGCCACATCCTTTACTGATCAGAATAGAAGGATAAACCAGACAAATGTGCAGAGAATGTTACCTTCCTGCAAGTCGTTATAGGGTCATCAGAGTAAAATGGAGGGTAACCAACAAGCATCTCATACATTATTGCACCTAATGACCACCTGCATAAAATCTTATGAATAAGAAGACATGATAGGAAAAATACATTGTGTTTTTTTGTGTTTTTTATTTCTCTTTTTGAAGAAACAATTAGGGAAAAGTTCAAATGAGTTAAAAGCCAAATAACTTCTCATGCAGTTTGACAAACTAACAAACTCTAAGTGAAAGCAACCATAAAGGGCTTAGTCCTCAATAAGGTTTGTGTTTCATCAAACTCCAAACTCAAAATATTTTTTGATACTTTACAAAAATTGAGAGAGTGGCCTTCCGCTGCGACACTCCCTTCCAAAGAAAATTACAGTCTCTTTGCCCAACGAGTCTCGCATAGAAAGATACCACCATAAATGTACCATTCCAAACCTACAAATCCTTTACCTCAAACTGAATAAAAAAACCCGAGAGCAGGCCAAGTAACTCCACAACTGATCCAACCTCCCAATCTTGCAGCAACAGTCTGAACAGTGGTGCCTAGACCACACCTCCCTAACCTAAAGACTAATAATCATCCATTGTCGCCTCCATGTTCACAGCTGTCCTGAACACAGCTATCCTGAATAGATCAGGATAAGATTCAGTCATAGGCCTATGCCCACACCAAATGCCCTTTCCTGCCAAAACCTAGCTCAATGCTCATTACCCACCTTGAAAGAGGTGAGTCCATAGAAGTCATCCCAAACCTTCATAATACCCTTCCAAACCCCCACCCCGTAGGGCCCTCTAATGAACCTCATATATCACTCCTATCACACCACCCTCCTCCATAGGTTCTCCTTAAAAGAAAACCTCCACAACCATTTACCTTACAAGGTCCTGTTAACCATGTTTTTTATGCCAACCCAACCCCTCCCCAAGCAAATGGACCAACTTCCACTCCACTAGATGATAGTTTAATTCTTACCCCAACCCTTCCAAAAGGATGTCCCTCATCAACTTTCCCAACCAATGAACCACCAAAAATAGAATAATCTATGAAGACAAAACACATGTAAGCAAGCTAGATAATGTACTCTTGATGAGGTTACCCTAGCCAAACTCCCCTCAAATGTCTCCGCCACCAGACCCCAAACTCATTTGAAGGAAGCGTTGAGTAGGAGAACCAAGTAAGAAGAAGGTAGAGCCTAGAACCGACACTCCAAGTTCAAAGCCAAAGACTCTACATTCACTACTCGACCCATCAAAATGAGCTCACACTTGGTTAAGTAATATGCAATCTTGATACCACTTAAAAACAAAGTACTATACATCTCAAAAATCTCATCTCCTCCTCTGTCCTTATTAGACCTACAATAGATCATAGTATCATCTGCAAAAAGCAGATGGGACACCAAGACCATAGCAACATCACCAACCCCCACCCAAAGCCCTTAAGGTGTCCTGTCCATCATTAGTTGCCCCTGCTATTATCTGGTTCAACACTAACAAAGGGAAACATAAAAGGAGGCAAGGGGTCCCCTTGCCTTGAACCTCTAAAGCTCTCGAAAAATCCTTTAGCAACCCCATTCACGTCCTCTGTAAATGTAAGACTTAGTATGTTCAGCAATCAAGTTTAACAGGGGGTGCTCAATGTAAAACAACAGAACAAAGAAAACTAGAACCAAGTGAGCCATATTGATAATCAACACAGAGTAGTTAAATTACTTCTAACATGTCCTAGCACGGCGTAACATATCAATCCTAAGAAAATTAAGGTACAGGTAGAAATAATAACAACATAATTACTAACCAGTCACACTCCATTCCATATCCCTTCTTCAGTAGTACCTCGGGAGCAATATAGTCTGGCGTACCCACCGTTGAAAATGCCTTTCAAAAGCAAAAGAATAAACCAATGAATCAACAGTGTGAACAACCCCCCAAAAAAGGGTATTTGACATCCTGATATTTTTTATCAACAACAACAAAAATGTTATTCAACGAAGGGAAAGAAAAATAAAATAAGGGGATGTCAAAAATGTTATGCACTCAACAAAAAGAAAAGAAATACAAGAAGCATAACTAGTTCCATACATCTACCTCATATAACTACAAATCAAAAATAAAGAAATCTCCTTAAAAGAAGGAGATGTCAAAACCCACATCATTAGAATTAAGATTTTTATGAGCTGAGGTCCACGCAAACATTTTAAACTTTAGTGGCACAAAAGCACTCTAAATGAACTTGCGAAGAATAAAAATTGAAACATTAGAATCATCAAGATCGTAAGAAAAAAGAATTTGAAAGATAGGTATAAGAAAGAAACATATCAGAAAAAACTTTAAAGTTTACATAATCTAAGAAATTTAAACTAAAGTGCATAGGCGTGGTTTTTCTACACATCTAGTGCACAGGGATGATGGCCTTGGCATCATCTTTCTTCATTAAGATGTAATTTTACTTATCAAGTTCAAAAAATAAAAAACCGCTCCCAAATTCAACAAAATTTAGTAATTACGATAAATAACTACAGTGATAAAAAAATAATAACCAAAACAACCTTCTGAAGTTGGTAAGTCCTTTGGAATGGAGAAATATATAATCATCTTGTTAGATATTCAATCCCATATGAGTTACAAAGTCATGTTTCTTCTTTTCCTACAATCAGTCAACACTATGCAAATTTTACAAATGCATTGAATTTGCATCCCTACAAATATGAATTGGAACCTAGTAGGGGGGGATAACAATCAGTATGTTTGATTTCAGTTTTCTGAATTCAATTTTCTAAAAACTGAGTTTTTTATTTTTCGTGTTTTTTATGTTACATGGACTCGGGTACGGGTGTCGGGTGCGGGTATGTATCTAGAGGTCGGACTCATCAAATCATAAATTTAAGGATACGTGGACTCGGCAAAAAAATGTCATATTTTTATATTTTTAATCTAATATGTGAGATAAAATGGTATTATATTTAACTTATAGTGTCAAAATGACATTTATAGCAATTATACAACAATATGTACATATAATAATAGTGTTATATACAATTATATAAGAAGTATCCGTTGAAAAGTATCCGACACATATCTCATACCCTTGTCCGAGTGTCGGGTGTCCGACACGGGTATTTGATTTATTTTGAAGAGTCCATGTAACATAGTGTTTTTTTGTCAGTGAATATTTCTAAATTTCAAGCAATTTTTTTTACTTTTTTAGATGCACTTACTTAGATATATCAAAATAGTAAAATATTTGTGAAAAAATATTTTTAAAAATTAGTAAATACACAAAAATACGAAAAATGTACTCTTTTTTTTTCTTTTTTTTTTGCATTTTTTGGTAATTAGTGTATTTTTTAAAGATTTTTTTTCACAAATATTATACTTTTTAAGTATATTGATGCTAGGTATGTATAAAAATTTTAAAAAAAAAAAATTTGCTTAAAATATTAAAAAAATTCATTGAAAACATTAAAAAAAGAAAAATAAAAAATAGAATTTTCTGAAAACTGTTTTCTGAAAAACAGAACCAAACAAATAATTTTTGTCTTGATATAATTGCATACCAACTTCCTCCTGTTCATCTGCCAATGTTGAAGCTGCTCACGAGGACTTTTCCAATTACTTCCATTGTCTGCATCACGAATGCATCCATCAACATCCATTGGTTCCCTCGTATTCTCATCATCCATGGTTTCATCTTCTTTGAGCGTAGATAAAGTTCTACAATCAAGAGGTTTGCAAAGACCAAAATCTGAGAGTTTCATGTGACCATTTTTGTCCAGGAGGAGGTTATCAGGTTTGATATCCCTGGAAAGAAATAAACAAAAGTCAAAGACAGTAGAGTCTACTAACTTATGGCACATAACAAAATTCACCCATTTCACCAGATAATTCAGCTTGTGGATGTAGTTATGTCTGTGAATACACTAACCTGTGAATGTAGTTATGTTTGTGAATGGATTCAATGGCCAGGACACTCTGAGCAATGTAAAATTTAGCCACATTTTCAGTTAAAGTATCTTCTCTAATCAGCAGGGTCATCATGTCACCACCAGGCAGATATTCCATAATCAGATATAAGTATTCTGCATCTTGGAACGAGTAGTACAGTTTTACTATGCAGTGGCTGGCCACTTCAGCCAGCAAGTTTCTCTCAGCTCTGACATGTTCCACCTATGGCAGGAAAATAATTGTGAATAAAAGCAGGTAAGGCACAAAGAAGGCTAAATGAAGATCATTAACATACTATCAATTACTACAGCAAATTAGTTACAGACATATATCCCATCTCACCTGTCCTCTTTTAAGCATTTCAGATTTCTTCAGCTTTTTCATTGCATAAATATTGCCAGATTTTTTCTCCCGACACAACTGAACCTGTACAATAAAGAAAATTAGATATAAATCTACAATCAAGCACCAAAAAGTTGAAAAGTAATTGTTTACATGGAGAGAAATCATTTGGAAATATAGATTTGTGAAAATTTGAGTACATAGATGCATTGTAAGTACATCATAGACACATCTAACCTCGCCAAAGGCTCCTCTCCCAATGATGGTTAGCAGCTCAAAATCATCAACGCATATCTTGTGCCTTTTAAGTCGCATAAACTCTGTCTCCTTCCGCTCCAAATCCTTAATCAGATTAATCTGTTCCTCCTTGGGCACATCCGAAGAAGCTAACTTCCTCTCTAACACCCATCGCCTGCAACCAAAGCATAATATACTGGTAATTTACAAACTTGGGAGTACCCAAAATGTCAAATTTACATGCCAAAATCATAAGAACATCAACCTTTTAACCTTGACAACGACAATGATAGTGTCAGTTGATCAAGGATAGCTTTAGGAAACTTGGGAGTATTGTTGCCTACAAGTGAAATTCTGGCGGGTTTTGGTTATGGAAAGTTTCTAGGGTTCTAAGAGCTAGAAGAAATTTAGATGATTTCTAAAGTATTAGGTTGCAGGATTTGCAGGGAAACTAGACTGGGTTTCTCTGGGCAGCTGCTATTTTATGGTGTTTAAGTTTGGATTTAAGTGGCCAAAGGATAGGGGAAAAGGTTGGGATGATTTGAGCTCCATTTGGGCACATCATTTTCATTTTTCTCTTTCAGTTCTTTCTCACTCACTTAAAGAGAGACAACCCCTAGAAGATTCATGAAAGTTATATTTCCCCAATAGTTCATCATACATGTTCCTTCCACTACGAAAACCCTAATTCTACCCAATAGAGAGGTTGCACTTGTACTTGGAGAGAATTTATAACCATGCAATTGGTTGCCCCCATCTCTAAATTGCTACTTTGAGGATGGGGATTGACTCCAAATAATCCACCACTAGTTTAACAAATCATTTCAGTTTCATGGCCTCAAAAACTAGTAAATTATAAAATGGCAGAGGATAACAATGACCCATAGCAAGTACAAATTAATCATCTCCGTTTGGTCACTGAGAAAATAAGAGTAAATGAAAGCTCCAAACCAACCTCCCTAGTTTATTTAATTCCCAAAAAAACAAAAACAAAAAAAGTGCAACTCCCCTGAATTGAGCAACATGTCCACAACAAAACAATCAAAAATAAAAAGATTCACAATAATGTCAAATCAAATTTATTTTTCCAACACTTTCCCAGCAAACACACACAGTTCAGAAAATGAGAAATCAATGATTAAAGCTAGATCTCGCAGAAATAGAAATGTAGACAGAAATCGAAAGAGTAGTTCATCAAGTGTTTTCAATTTAATTGCTTCAAATAAAATACCTCTCTTTTCTCTCTTGAATGTTCTTCATCTGAGCTCTGTAGTGGTTCTCTATGAACTGCTTAGCCGCTGCCACTTTCTCCATCGTCAAGCTCGAACCCAACACTTCCTCTTCCTCCCCGTTCTGTGACTGCTCCTCCTCCATCTCTCTTTCTCTCTCTCGCTCTCTCTCTAGAAAACCCTATGAAATGATCTTCTCTTTCTTTCTCTGTCTCTCTCTCTCTATATATATATGTATATATATAATAGCAGCACGAATAAATTTATTGCAACAACGAGGAGATGGAAGGAAGGAACATCGTCATTCACCTCATCAGCTCCTGGTCCGACCCAAGTACAAGCATGTTCAGATCAGGTACACCCGTACGTTTCCTCGTAAACAGACTTGCCATTGCGATCGTGACACCTGGCTGATGTTCTTTTTTGGTTTTGGTTTTTGCACACGTGGCGGATTTTGGTACAGAATGGTGTTAGTCGGCGATGTAGGGTGTGAAATCTCCGGTAGTAAATTAAGTCTGAGAGCTTTTCGATTGTTGTCAGTGGGTGTGATGGAGTCACGCGCAGATGTAAATGCGTGGAAAGGACTCAACTCAAGGGTACTCACTCTAGACTAGACAGGGAGAGAGAGGGAGTGTCTGTGTCAGTGTCTGATGATAAAGTGGACGTTTTAACATACAGAATAGAGGGGAGACCACACAGAACAGAAGGTTGTAATTGGAGTTTGGAGCGTGTAGTGCACTTGCGTCGTGAGGAAGTGAAGGGTGTATTGAATTCTCCAAGTCAGTGATGGGGTGTCACTGCTGATACACAACCTTATGTCTTTGGGTTAGATTCTTGTGTGCTGCGTCCTGACACAAGCCTTCAAACCTTGTTTCGTTACAATTTTCAAAATAATTTTCTGCATTTTTTGTTATTAAAGCAATATAAATTAGTTTTAACAAATATAAATATTAATTTCTTTTAATTTGTAAAAATTATTTCAGCCTTTAAAAAATATGAAAGTGTGTGTCAATTTTCGATCACACTGTCAACTTAGTACTCAACTAGAGAATACCGGTAGAATAGGTTAAGCCCGAATAACCTACAACAGAAAGAAGGGATTCCGGCGGTGGCTCGTCCACCCTGGGGCACTCCGACGATCAAGTCAGTAAAATATCTCTCAAAGATAATCAATAGTACTTAACTCACTAAATAGAGCATAAAAGACATACCTTAGACCCATGGAGTGCCTCCTTTTTATAGTCAATACAATCCTAGTCCCAATAAAAGCCTACCTCTAATGGACTTAGGATTACTGTTAATCTTGAACTCCCAGTAAGATTAGGATAAACTCTCTAAGAGTCTTATCTTTACCCAAACTGAAGTCTTCTCTCATTCTAGGACTCTTGTCCTTTATCCGCTTATCCCGAATTCTGGTATTTTCATAGATAACCTCGGCCTAGCCAAGATCATCTCGGCGCCAAGACCAGAACACGTGGCACCTCGGCCACGTGTTCGCCATTCAAAAATTATGTCCCCACAACTGTCCCCTAGGTTTTATTATCTCGGCATCCTGAGGTGATGGAACCTATATTATTTCTTTTAGCACGTCGGCTAAACTTGCTCTATCCTTTACTACCGAGGTCATCATTCATCGGCTTAATATGACCAAGACTTATAGTCTGTTTTCATCAATGCTTTAGAATAATTTGCATGTCTTCAATGTACATCTTAACTGTGTAATATCCTCGGGGTGTTACACCTCAGTTGTTCCCACTAATCAGTTTAGCTCAGCCTCGGCTTAACACTTGACAATATTTTCACAAGTGCTATTTACAAATCGATACTTCACTCTTAGCAAGACTTCTGTCTTCAAATTTCTTCCAAGTCTTGGCAACATGGTAATCTCGGCAAGTATGTAGATATTTCTTTCAACATAACCTTGGTTTAACTTGTAAATTTTTCTTAAAATTTCGACAAGTGTTTAAACCAATCTTCTTTTAACATAATCTTGGTTAACTTCAACTTGTAAACTTAAATTTCAACAAGCGTTAAACGTGACCTCGGTTTAACTTCAACTTGTAAATTTTAATTTCAACAAGTGTTTAAACATGACCTCAGTTTAACTTCAACTTATAAATTTAAAATTTCAACAAGTGTTAAACACCTCTTCGGTTTAACTTCAACTTGTAAATTCAATTTCAAGAAGTGTTAAACACATCCTCGGTTTTAACTTCAACTTGTAAATTTCAATTTCAACAAGTATTAAACACCTCTTCGGTTTAACTTTAACTTGTAAATTTCAACAAGTGTTAAACACCTCCTCGGTTTAACTTCAACTTGTAAATTTCAATTTCAACAAATGTTAAACACGTCCTCGGTTTAACTTCAACTTGTAAATTTCAATTTCAAAAAGTGTCTAAACCAATCTTAGTTTGTGAAATTCTAACTCCCAAGCATCATTCTTCAACCCTTTGCCCCCTAATGTGAACTTAAGTTCCACTTGGGTTCTCATTGGGCACGTGGCTTTGACCTCGTCGCCGATGTAATATTTGAACAAAGACTGGCCGAGGTTATTAACCTCGATCTCTTTACGAAGGCACTTAGCTCCAATCTGTGTCTGACTTTGCCGATATGACAAGTCCAAGTTAACCCAACTTAGTTCAAATTTATTATATGCAAGTAAACTTTCTACTCTGCCATATAATAAGTCTAAGTCATTCGTCATGTTTCAATCAGAAACATCATCATAGAACTGGTCAGTCTTATTACACAGATTTCAAAAATGAAACTAACACTTCAGCCGTTATGCCCCATTGCCGGCAACCTTTCTCAGGCTGAGGTCCCTAACTTTGAACTCTCTTGGGCTGACCTTCTTGTTGTAAGCCCTAGAAAGTTGTTGTTGGTATGCCCCCAGCCGAATTGTTGTTCTATCGTACGTTACAGGTGGATTTCAAAGCATTTTCATGTTTTTTTACATAGGCTTCAGTTTCCTTTCGCATGTAAGGCGAAAAGAATCCCTATGATATTGCTCTATGGGCAAAGGATCTGCCCTCTGCATGGCTTTCACATACTCCTTTGTGGACCTTATATAAAAATTCTTTAATTTAGGCCAAGCTCTTTTCTTCTCGGACTTAATCATCTAGGCCGAGATCTTGTCTTCTGGGATCTGGGATCCGAGATCTGGAATTTGAGATCTGCTCACTTGGGCTGAGCTCTTGTCTTCTCGTATCCAGTGTTATCTTGGCTTCGCTTTGGCGAACCATTTCTCTTCTCTTGTTTGGACGCCTTTGTCCCCAGCGTATCTTCCTCGGCTCTGGCATACTTTTCTATCCTGGCCATCAACTCCTCCATACTTTTCGGCAATGTCTTTGCCACTGATTTTCGAAGCAGGCAGTCATCCTTCAAGCCGTTTTTAAACGACATGACCGCCACCTCTTGGTTGCATCCTGGTATTCGGTTGAATACCTCATAATACCTTTTGGCATAGGCCCTAAGGCTTTCATCCTTGCCGATCTTCAGGGCCATTAGGGCGTCCACCCTCAATGATTGTAACTTGTTTGTCACGAATCTAGCCACAAACATCTCGACTAGGCCTTCCTAGGTTTTTACAGTTTCTTTCGACAACTTATGAAACCAGTCCGATGTAATTTCTCCGAAGGATGAGGGGAACACCTTGCAGAGCAACGGCTCGTCCCAGTGTACAACGCCATCGAGTTCAGGTATAAGTTGATGTGAAGGTTGGGGTCCGACTTATCATCGTATATCTGGAATCTCGGCATGCTAAACCTTTTCGGGGCTTCGAATTTGTCCAATTCTACCAAGAACGGCGTTCTCGGCTTAACCGGGGAGGTTACCTCGGCATCTTGTTGCTTCCTCTGTAGGTGATCCCCCAGATTTTCTTTGGTCCGTTCAGGAGCTCGGCTATCTCCTGACTTCAGCCTTCTCGATGCACTACTCCCAATTTCATTATGGGTCCTTTTGGACTTCCCTTCATTGGTTGTGTCGAAGCACAACTCCTCTCCTTGAACATGTCGATGTTCTTTGGGGTCGGCTTCCTTAGTGCGATGCGTCCTCCTCGATTCTTCCTTTCTTGACTCTCCTCGCCCGACCTCTCTTGAAGGTCGGTGACAGTGTTTTTCGATCCTAGTGTGCTGGGGGACTGTAAGGACTATTTTCTGTCCCTCTTTTCGGGCATCCTCCTTTGTCGTTGGAATCGGCGTATCTTGTAGTGGGAATAGTGACTGTATGACGTTATTCTGCATCATGAAATTGACCATTGTTTGTAGGTTCACCAATTTGTTCACCATGGCCTTTACCTCAGCGTCGCTCCGTAGGCATCTTTCTTTCCATACCTGAAGGTCGTTCTGGTTATAATATCTGCTCTGGTCCGTTTTCTTTGGTGCGTCGCTCTCCTAGCCGACGTCCTTTCCTTTGCGATTCTTATCACAAGTCTCTTCGTTACAGTTGACTTCTTCAACGTTAGAGTCAATATGTTTCCCATTCTTAGTAAGGGTGTTGTCCCTAACCTTCTCTTTCTGTCCGTCGTTGGCCATCTATTCTCCTTTCTTTCCCACAAACGGCGCCAAATTGTGTGTCAATTTTCGACCACACTACCAACTTAGTACTCAACTGGAGAACACCAACAGAATAGGTTAAGCCCAAATAACCTACAACAGAAAGAAGAGATTCCGGCTGTGGCTCGTCCACTCGGGGGCACTCCGACGATCAAGTCAGTAAAATATCTCTCAACGATAACCAATAGTGCTTAACTCACTAGACAGAGCATAAAAGACATATCTTAGACCTATGGGGGTGCTTCCTTTTTATAGCTAATACAATCCTAGTCCCAATAGAAGCCTAGCTCTAATGGACTTAGGATTACTGTTAATTTTGGACTCCCAGTAGGATTAAGATAAACCCTCTAAGAGTCTTATCTTTACCCAAACTGAAATCTTCTCTCATTCTAGGACTCTTGTCCCTTATCTGCTTATCCCGGATTCCGGTATTTTCGCAGATAACCTCGGCCTAGCCAAGATCATCTCGGTGCCAAGACCAGGACACATGGCACCTCGGCTGGCACTTCGGTGCCACCTCGGCCACGTGTTCGGCATTCAAAAATTATGTCCCCACAGAAAGCATACAAATGATGAGTGTTTTTATTTATTCTTTTTATTTATTAAATTAAATTTTAGTTTATTTCAAAAAAAATTGACTTGAAAATTTTAAAACCCATATCAAACAAAACCTAACTGTGAAGTTATATTAAAAAAATAAAAAATAAATAAAATAAAATTATACTCCACGCCGATTTGTAGAACGCTCATTTACAGGCATAGCATGTGCCTGCGTCAC